TCTCTGTTTCATCTCGCAAACTTGAAATTTAACAGCCCAACTCTGAATATCTAAGATTTGTGACTTCAAAGTTAAATCCTATTTTTAATATTTCGAAACGATCTTAGAGCTAGGATGTCGTAAAATCAATTTTAGACGTTGAGAACCTAGGATATCCTAGAATCAATGTTAGAAGATGAGAACCTAGGATATCATAGAATCAATGTTAGAAGATGAGAACCTAGGATATCATAGAATCAATGTTAGAAGATGAGAACCTAGGAGATCCTAGAATCAATGTTAGAAGATGAGAACCTAGGATATCATAGAATCAATGTTAGAAGATGAGAACCTAGGATATCATAGAATCAATGTTAGAAGATGAGAACCTAGGAGATCCTAGAATCAATGTTAGAAGATGAGAACCTAGGAGATCATAGAATCAATGTTAGAAGATAAGAACCTAGGATATCATAGAATCAATGTTAGAAGATGAGAACCTAGGATATCATAGAATCAATGTTAGAAGATGAGAACCTAGGAGATCCTAGAATCAATGTTAGAAGATGAGAACCTAGGAGATCATAGAATCAATGTTAGAAGATAAGAACCTAGGATATCATAGAATCAATGTTAGAAGATGAGAACCTAGGATATCATAGAATCAATGTTAGAAGATGAGAACCTAGAATATCATAGAATCAATGTTAGAAGATGAGAACCTAGGATATCCTAGAATCAATGTTAGAAGATAAGAACCTAGGAGATCATAGAATCAATGTTAGAAGATGAGAACCTAGGCTAGAATCAATGTTAGAAGATGAGAACCTAGGATATCCTAGAATCAATGTTAGAAGATAAGAACCTAGGAGATCCTAGAATCAATGTTAGAAGATAAGAACCTAGGACGTCCTAGAATCAATGTTAGAAGATGAGAACCTAGGATATCCTAGAATCAATGTTAGAAGATAAGAACCTAGAATATCATAGAATCAATGTTAGAAGATGAGAACCTAGGATATCCTAGAATCAATGTTAGAAGATAAGAACCTAGGAGATCCTAGAATCAATGTTAGAAGATAAGAACCGAGGACATCCTAGAATCAATGTTAGAAGATGAGAACCTAGGATATCCTAGAATCAATGTTAGAAGATAAGAACCTAGGATATCCTAGAATCAATGTTAGAAGATGAGAACCTAGGATATCCTAGAATCAATGTTAGAAGATAAGAACCTAGGACATCCTAGAATTAATGTTAGAAGATGAGAACCTAGGATATCCTAGAATCAATTTTAGAAGATGAGAACCTAGGAGATCCTAGCACTAAGATTATTTCGTTAATTCAAATTATGAGAGCTCCTTCTTTAAATTGGAATTCTGGGGACCCTTTTTTTTAAATCTTGATGCTCTATCCCTTTTTTACATTTTGTGGGATCTCTGCCTATATTTTATCCCTTTATTTTACAATTAAGAGTGGTCTTTCCCTAAGTTGAAAATTTGTAGCACTCTCTCCCTTTGTTTTTACAAATTTTAATGGGAAATATTTATTGATTGATTTTGATTTTTCCAGCTCGACTGAGAATAACGAACATACGAAAAGACGACGAGGAAAATGACGATGGTGAATACGCTTGTATGGCAATCAATATGGACGTTCGCGATGTTAAACAGGGTTCCTTACACACAATCAAATCAAGAGGAGGTAATCATTTTTTAGTTAGAATAAATAGCTCTGAAAAACGAAGATCTAATTCTCATAATTTTTCACATGCTTCATTTTTATACGCCCACATCTCTCTATGTGGACGTATATTGTCGGCACACCTGTCCGTCCGTCAACATTTGCTTGTAAACGCTCTCAAAACTTCACTATCTTTGAAGGTGAATTGAGCATGGTTTTGAAGTCTGCATGGCTAATGATAGTAATTCGGTTGATATACTCTGCATCTCTGAGTCTTTATTTTAGTTTTCATCATGTTCTATTAGTACTATGTATTATATATCACTTTCTCTATTAATTGTTACCATGTATTATCATTTATAAGAAATATCCACCTTTCGTTTCTTTTTTGTATTTTTTTTGTAATTTCGTACCTTCTTCAAATGTACCATTGGTTGTATGATGCCTTTACTGGGTGTATTTTATACAATAAACTTATCTTATCTTATCTTATCTTTAGAGAATGGTTTGTGTTGGTAAGAATGTAAACACAAACATACATTATTTCTTTGGAATTTGTTTTTATTCAGGAGAATTTGGACATTATTAGTTGAGATTTCTATATATTTACAAACAATTAATCATTCATCAACTCAAAGTCATTAAAAGACATCAGTTTTAGTAAAATGGATGAAATTTGATATCCTAATGAATTAGGGAAGACAGTAATTGTGTTATTTATTTTATGTTAACTTCTGTCTGTCCTATAATTGTAGAAGTCGCTGTGCTGAACCAAGTAAGATATATGTGGGCCTCACCTTCCGACCATTTTGGTCTCTATGGCGATGAGTTCAAGCTGAAATGTATCTTCTCTGGAAAGTAAGTACTATTTTAGAATTTTTTTTGTGTTTTTGAAATGACCTTATCTTTGTGTTTTGTATCACTATGGTTTATTTACCCATCGAATTACGAATCAGGTGCATTTTATTTTCATTTTCAAACATTCACCATTCTCTCACAGCACTGTAATGTTTCATAAATTCGACACCAGAAGATAATAAATGATTTCATAATTTTGCTTTGAGGTTTCATCTTCACAATGTCAAGCTATAACAAACTTCATCTTCACAATGTCAAGCTATAACAAACTTCATCTTCACAATGTCAAGCTATTACAAACTTCATCTTCACAATGTCAAGCTATTACAAACTTCATCTTCACAATGTCAAGCTATTACAAACTTCATCTTCACAATGTCAAGCTATTACCTTCATCTTCACAATGTCAAGATATTACAAACTTCATCTTCACAATGTCTAGCTATTACAAACTTCATCTTCACAATGTCAAGTTATTACAAACTACATCTTCACAATGTCAAGCTATTACAAATTGTGTCTGATACCATTTCATTTTATATTTTTTCAGCCCGACCCCTGATGTTCACTGGACTAAAACTAAGGGAGGAAGTTTGCCGGACACTGTAAAAACGAGAAGTTTTGGCCAAGAGTTGGTGTTCAGCAGTTTGGAGTTTTCCGATGCCGGAGAATACGAGTGTTGGGCCACAAATACCCAGAGTACAAAACGTGAACTTCGAACTTTCAAAGTCAGGATTGAATGTAAGTCTGTTTTTTTAACATTCAATTACCACTCAATTGATCAAAGTCACAAGCCCCTCACACAAAACCAAGTACTAGTTGGGTATGGTAACTAAAAATGAAAGTGGTCGAACGCAACTCACAGCTCAGTTACTTGAGAGTTATGACAGCTATTCATATCCTTAAATAACTAGTGATTGCTATCGTGTGAGGGCATCTGTAACTAATTACAATCCATAAGTTCAATTCTTATGGATAAAACTGACGTGTACCAAATCCAATTAGCCTAATTACCACTCTGTCAACATTAATATGAAATGTTTTGTATTTTCAGCACGTCCATTTTGGGTAGTAGAACCAAAAGATGTAGAGATAGGAATCGGAGGAACTGCGAGATATACTTGTCTAGGAGAAGGAACCCCACCGCCAGTACGACATTGGTATATCAACAGTGTACTCTTTGAATGTAAGTCTGTTATATTATATTGAGGCCATCATTGTTAAAAACCACATTCCCCTATCACTGAATAGATAGCACCGTGGGTAACTTTATGTTAATAGCTTCGTATTTGGTGGTCGATTTGAACTAATGTCATACAAGTAATATTTATAACACAGTTTTTATGAGTTTATTAGGGTAGAGCTGTTTAAATAGGCTGACAAATTTAAACTTGTGATATTTTTCCCAGTTACGAACAGAAAAATATTACATAAATCTCAATTTGGTTATATTTAATTTTAAACTTTCAGCTGTTACTGATCCCCGAATCACTCAAGGGGGCCGTTTCCGTGTATTACGAGGTGGTGAAGCCGTGGAGTTGGTTAATGTAACTAGGGAGGATACTATGGTGATTCAGTGTAACGTGACCAATAAACATGGCTATGTTTTCAGTGACGTTTATCTTAATGTATTATGTAAGTTTTACTTTCTTGTATTTTTTTATGAAGTCAACAATATTAGTCCCATCTCACCCAGTTCAATTTACATTTTTTAGAATTTTTGAGATAATTCAAGACCTAAAATATTTTGAAATTTTCAGCTGAAGCTCCTACGATTATTCGTCCACCTGAGTTAGTGAAGGTAACAGCTGAGGGTTTGTCTGTGAATATATCGTGTGGGAACACGGGGAAACCTGACCCACAGGTCACATGGTATGTGGAAGGTCAGCAGATTACAGGTGGTCGTTATGTTACCCAACTTAACGGAGATCTACTAATAAAGGTAGGATTTTTAATCTGATAGAAAGTAAAGGTGTTAAAATGACTTGGAAAAATACCAGTTTGTCTCACATGACCATAATTAATTCATAATTAGCTAAATTAGAAGAGAATTACCAGCAGAATTCCAATGAGTGACCGATCAAGAAAGGTCAAAAAGTCTTTTTTTGTTTATCATGACTGTACATACATGGACATTTATGATTGGTTGAAACTCTTAATTATATGCAATAATAACATAATGATATGATTAAGAATATATGATAATTCATTAGAAACACCATTTAATCAAATAGTTTACTTAATTTGACACTAAAAAATAAGGAAACCCATCTTTAAACAGAACATTTGATTAGTTTTTTTAATTAGATTTTCTGACAAAAAAGACAAAACTTCTAAAATTGCATATATATATTTTCGTATTTTGAATTTTGAGTATTTTATTTTCTAGCAAGTGGTGCTGTCGGATGCGGGGGTGTATATGTGTGAGGTGGAGAATTCATACGGAAAGGCCAACGCTACGGGAACTTTGTCAGTTCGGAGAAAAACTTTGATTGAACAGGCTCCGTTGGATTTGGAAGTGAACGCTGGAACTGATGCCAAGTTTACGTGTTCAGGAACAACTGATCCTGAAGAAGTTCAAAATTTGCAAATCTTATGGGCGAAGGATAATAAACCAATCACAGCCAACGATCAGAGAATGACGACGAATATTCAGGATAATTCGTTGACTATAAGTGGTACGATTGTCCGTGATTCAGGAACCTATACCTGTATTGCCACCAACGGACTCGATGCCTACACCAAGTCAGCCATGTTGACTGTGAAAGGTAGATGTAGATTATTTTATGTATGGAGATAGGGAATATGTTTTGTTGATCCAGTTATCCATTACACTTTTGTTCATACATGAAGACTCATTGTGATTTTCTGTATTTTTTTTGTCTATTTTGAAAAGAGACACAAAGTTACACAAAGTTACACAAAGTTACACAAAGTTACACAAATAACAAAGATATTTGTACACCTTGAAGTTTGATTCATAACAAACACAAGCAGACCTATATATCGCTAGGGAGTAAAAATCCATTACATTTCAGTTTATTTTTACCATTCATTTTTTTAAATTATTTCAGATCGTCCAGATGCACCTACTAATGTAATTATAAAAAGCTGTGTGGATGGTGGAAACGCTACCATGAAATTTACACCTGGTAGCTATAACAACGCTCCTATTCAATACTTCGTCGTCCAGTACAACACATCTTTTAATCCCGACCAATGGAATTTTGGATTGAAAGCGCAACCAACGGAAACGGACGTTACGCTTCCTTTATCACCATACGCTAACTTCACATACCGAATCGTAGCCTACAACAAAATAGGCGAAAGTGATCCCAGTTTTCCCTCGGATAAGAAATGTACTACTAGCGCTAAACTGCCCAGTAAAAATCCAGAAAATGTACGAACCATTGGATATCGGAAGAATATGTTATATATGGAATGGACAGTAAGTATTATATTTCATGGCCGTGATTTAAATACGTGTTATTTTTCATCATTGGAAGTAGGTAGATAGAATGCTTCTTTTTATTTGCCTAGAATATAAGGTACAGAAGAGAAGGATGTAACCTGTAAGATATAGAAAGGTAAAACTCTATTTCAGGGTTTCTCAACTGGCGATGTATGTTGCATTTCAGATCTTGTAAAGTGTATACAAGAAATTTCAGAAATGAAGAAAGATTAAATGAAAATGAAAAAACTTCAGAGGGCTGTCTCTGTATATATGTATTTTACTGTAATTTTAAATAGGCTTATTGAGGATATTTTTCAGCTTTTAAAACACCCAAAAACCCTTCAGCTTCTGGGGTTTTGAACCCATTGACTAGATTTGTGGCGCTTTAGCAATTCCAGACCTGAAAAGTGGCGATTTGGCTCATTGACTTGAGAAACACTGCTCTGTTTCATAAGATAAAGAACAGTAGGATGTAAATTTTTCTGAATTTTCTTTTTCAGCCAATGCCTCAGATTCAACATAATGGTCCAGGATTTCAATACAACTTACAACTCAAACGTCAGGGTGACCCTGATACATCAACAAGGGTCGAAACTTTCAGCGATTGGAGGATTGACCATTTTGAACTGCCTACAGGCGACACCTATAAACCTTACGAAATTCTTCTGAAAGCTAAAAATGCTCAGGGAGAAGCTGGAAACGCTAAAACTATTATTGGATATTCAGGGGAAGATAGTAAGTAGTGTATTTTAAAAGTCAAAAGTTTTTGAATTTTTTAAATTAAATGCTTCACTGACAAAAAATCACTGATTTACGCTTACCGTTGCCATGGGAACACTTTTGAGTAGGTAAAATTTACTCGTTTCACTTAATCTTATTTCATTTTTTTGATAATTAACAAAAAGATTTGTCACAAGAGAAAAACAGAAAACAATGAAGCTGAGATTAAGTTTAAAACCAAGAATTTTTTTTGACAATTACAAAATAATGCATAGTTTTACATCCCTACAAATTTAAGACAAAACCACTAAATTTGTTCCTTACAAAACAAAGCCTTCACAGTAAAAATCTGTGACAATTTAAGCCCTATTGACTTAATAGTTGTTAGGAGGGGGGGGGGGGGATTGTGATTGAGTGTGGAAGACAGGCCAGATGTAGAAGACACTCAATAAACCAAGTAGAAGGATGAAAAATTTAGGTTTAATTTTTGAATATTCCAGTTCCGCAGATAGAACCGAGTAATTTCCAGACAGTGATGATTAACGATACCTCGGCTACTGTGTCGTGGAGTTTTGATCTAAATACTATCGGAATGTTAGATACTCCAATACGAGGGGAGTTTAAAGGTTTTAAGGTAAGAAAGTTAAATGTTGAACTATTGGATTTAAAACGTCATTTAATGTCATTAGTCAAAGAATTATATAAAATGTCCAGTTATGAGTTCTGTTTGGTGTGTCTTTCAATTTCTTTTCATTATCCCAGTAATTAACAGAACAGAAGAATAAAAGATAAAAGGATAATCGCACAATTCATTAACTTCATGTCTTTTCTGTGTAAAACACAATAATACTTGAAAACAATACAAAACAGTAGCTCTTCATTTCATTAGTCCAATAAGATACAGAACAGTAGGATATAAAACTCTATTTCATTTCATTAGTTCAATAAGGTACAGAACAGTAGGATATAAAACTCTATTTCATTTCATTAGTCCAATAAGATACAGAACAGTAGGCCATAAAACTCTATTTCATTTCATTAGTCCAATAAGATAAAGTAGGATATAAAACTCTATTTCATGTCATTAGTTCAATAAGATACAGAACAGTAGGATATAAAACTCTATTTCATTTCATTAGTCCAATAAGATACAGAACAGTAGGCCATAAAACTCTATTTCATTTCATTAGTTCAATAAGATACAGAACAGTAGGATATAAAACTCTATTTCATTTCATTAGTCCAATAAGATACAGAACAATTAGTTCAATAAGGTACAGAACAGTAGGATATAAAACTCTATTTCATTTCAATAGTCCAATAAGATACAGAACAGTAGGATATAAAACTCTATTTCATTTCATTAGTCCAATAAGATACAGAACAGTAGGATATAAAACTCTATTTCATTTCAATAGTCCAATAAGATACAGAACAGTAGGATGTAAAACTCGTATTTCATTTCAATAGTCCAATAAGATACAGAACAGTAGGATATAGAACTCGTATTTCATTTCAATAGTCCAATAAGATACAGAACAGTAGGATGTAAAACTCGTATTTCATTTCATTAGTCCAATAAGATACAGAACAGTAGGATATAAAACTCTATTACATTTCAATAGTCCAATAAGATACAGAACAGTAGGATGTAAAACTCGTATTTCATTTCAATAGTCCAATAAGATACAGAACAGTAGGATATAAAACTCGTATTTCATTTCAATAGTCCAATAAGATACAGAACAGTAGGATGTAAAACTCGTATTTCATTTCAATAGTCCAATAAGATACAGAACAGTAGGATGTAAAACTCGTATTTCATTTCAATAGTCCAATAAGATACAGAACAGTAGGATGTAGAACTCTATTTCATTTCATTAGTCCAATAAGATACAGAACAGTTGGATATAAAACTCGTATTTCATTTCAATAGTCCAATAAGATACAGAACAGTAGGATGTAAAACTCGTATTTCATTTCATTTGTCCAATAAGATACAGAACAGAAGGATGTAAAACTCTATTTCATTTCATTAGTCCAATAAGAACAGTAGGATATAAAACTCTATTTCATTTCATCGCCCAATAAGAACAGTAGGATATAAAACTCTATTTCATTTCATCACCCAATAAGAACAGTAGGATATAAAACTCTATTTCATTTCATCACCCAATAAGAACAGTAGGATATAAAACTCTATTTCATTTCATCACCCAATAAGAACAGTAGGATATAAAACTCTATTTCATTTCATCACCCAATAAGAACAGTAGGATATAAAACTCTATTTCATTTCATCACCCAATAAGAACAGTAGGATATAAAACTCTATTTCATTTCATCACCCAATAAGAACAGTAGGATATAAAACTCTATTTCATTTCATTAATCCAATAAGAACAGTAGGATATAAAACTCCATTTCATTTCATTAGGACAATAAGATACAGAACAGTAGGATATAAAACTCCATTTCATTTCATTAGTCCAATAAGAACAGTAGGATATAAAACTCTATTTCATTTCATTTAGTTTTTATTTGACTATATTAACAGATTCAGTATTGGCAAGAGAATTTTAAGGAGTATACAATCAGAGAGTATGATGTTACAGCTGAGGAATCCCTGAAGCATGCCCAGGGGAACACCATCACGGCTGTGGTCAAAAATCTCCTGCCCTTTACTCAGTTACAGATGAGGATATCGGTCATGAATAATTTCTACGTCGGTCGACCTACGGATGTTATCAGTTTCCAAACAGGCCCAGGAGGTAAGGATACACACTTGTTACCAGTCTTATGTTTAAAGGAATACCACATCTTTGTTCATTCTATAACTCTTGGAAAGTGGGGGTACAAATAGAGGGCAGAGTTACTAAATGGGGGACACAACTGACAGGGTTGGGAATCCAAATGGGGTAGTGCTGTGGAATTGCCAAAGAGTCAAGCTAGTTTTTTATGGAGCTTCTTGGAGATTCTGCCCAGAAGAAATTTGATGGGTCATTCTGACACATATTTTGGGTCAAATTTTTGTAAATATTATTTTGTAACCTGTTTAAAATGATTAGGAGGTAGACATATACTATTACTCTAGGGGGCAGTGTATCTGGAGAGTTTTTGAGATTTACTCTCCAGATTTATTCAAGAGCAATTTGAGTTCAAATATTGTTATAAATCTGTTTCTGTTCCAGTATCTGGTCCTGTAGAAAGATTTGCAGCTCAGAGTATTGGTAATAACCATTTTAACTTGGAATGGAACGAACCACTGGATAAAAATGGATATATTATTGGATATGACATAGGTACGTAGAGTTTGTTATATATCCCTGTCACTGTGCAGGTCAGAGGGGCTAACGGGAAACTAGTTTGCAGACCTTATTCTCTGTGGCTTAATCCTTGCAGATTTGTGATGGAATTTTCAACTAATTGATGCTAGATGGAGAGATTTTGGATGGAAAAATGGTTGTATGTGTAGGAAAATAGACAAGGGCACTGTCTGGTATAGGCTGTACAAATGAACAATTCCTTTGCAAATTAGAAATTAAAAACAAAAGGCTAATGCCTCTGACGAGACAAAAATACTTTCATTGCACACTGCATGGCATTGCCTGTTGCCTTCATTCCAATTTGAAGCAAGAATTCATTTTATTTGCCTCTTGCCATATGATTTCTAAATGCAATAAAATTATTATTATTATTATCACTAGGCTATCAGACGGTAAATGGATTAGATTTGGGTAAGATGCAGGATCGAGAACCTCAAATACAAGATTCATTAACAACAATGGCTATGTTGAGTGGTTTATTAGCTAATTCGAAATATCGGGTGTATATTTGGGCGAGAACTGTTCAAGGTCGAGGTGATGGATATTTTATAGAATTAACAACAACTGCTCCTGGAAGTAAGTAGATAACTCTGTTGTCAAGGCATCAGAGAACCATTTTCTTGTGTGCTTTATTCTTTCTCTTTTGTATGTTTGTTAAATAGTTTATAAACAATATACTGGTAGTCCAAATATTTGAATAACGTCTTGTTTCAGCTTTTTCTTTAACCTTTCAGAATTTGAATTTTGTCAACTTGGGAAGGGTGGATTTGTGGGGTGGGAGGGTTTGTAAATTGAAAATTGTATATTTAAGATACAAAAATGAGAGGAGGTCACATGGAACTTCATATTTTTTAAAGAGTTACTGTTAAATATAGTTCAAAATACACAAATTAGGAAATTAACAGCAGAATTTCTTGTCTCCTTTGCATAATGTCTAACCAAGTTATGGAACCTTATTTTCAGGCCCAGAAGCGCCAAGATACACGATAGAATCAGTCGGAGAACATTACGTGAATGTTACGTGGTGGTTAAACACTTACGTTAAATCAGGAACCGTTATTTTCGTTGAATACAAGAAAGATGGTATGTACGGACTTTGGTTTATGTTTGAAATTAGTTTTAAATATGCAAAACTTTTAATTTCATTTGAGAATTATAAAAGTTTATTGAAAGACTCTATGACTGAGAAAAGTAAATGATGGTTGTGGGTTCTAATTTTGATTGACATGCAAAAACAACTTTTTTGAGTTGTGTCAATTATCTCAGCTGTAAATGGGCAGAAATGGTGGTGCCCAGGGGTTATGGGTATGACTAGTTGGGAAAGGGGGCCCCAGTGCAAATACAAAATACATCGTTCAGGAAATATCCCCTCAAAGTGTAAAGAACATGCGAAAAAATGCTAAATTTAATAGGGGGTGAAAGCTGACACCACTCTGACTCTCGGAAGCACAGGTACACGCATCAGAATTTTTCTTACCTTGATGACAATCCAACTCGCTTCTGAGTGAGCTATTTCACTATAAGTTTAGAGATCACATTGCATAATACAACATGATATTGTGTACAATATTTAATATTTATAATTTAGGTGCGTCTGAATGGTTGAAATCAACTGATGAAGTCATCAATACGTGGAAGAATATAACAGACCTGGAATCAGGGACTACTTACGAAATCAGAGTCGTGGCTACTAACGGAAAACAACGAACAGAATCTGGTACTACTGAGGTGACCACTCTCGGTGTTGGTAAGTTGATTTTATTACCAGGTCTATCTCGTCTGTTCACATATTTCTGGAACAAGAGGTTTCACATCTTCACTATGTCAAGGTATTACGAATTACCACTTATACCTTGATATCATTTAGCACTTAACTTGTTTGAAAGTTAACATCCTGCTAACTTGGATTTATTTCCAATGTGAGAGTTGAATATATAGCCAATCAAATGCTTTGTTACAGAGAACAATGAAAGAAATGGCAGATGAGAACTAGTAGTTTAACACTCAGTCATATCGTTAACAGTATTATTGTTTGATTGGAAAGAAAAAAAATTAAAAGATCAATAGACATTTTGATAACGTTTCCCTGATTGTACACTGCATAACTTGGAGATAATTCATAATTCATATTCAAATTTTTAGCTGCTGCATCTGCTCTGGTAGCGAATATTGGTTGGTTTATTGGAATGTTGCTAGCGGTGATAATAGTTATAGCAATAGGAGTGGGTGTATATTGCTGTGTCAAGGCTGGAATGGGATTTAAACGTGTTGCCACGGAGGAGCCTCGAGACGCGCCTTATAGCGGTGTCTCCTACGCAGGTATTAGTACTTTACTTTACGCCCTATGTTCCTGACTATCGTAACATCGTTGTTGTGTTTCTACGTAGAAGGTAGTAGTATTAACCCTGTTTATTTCAGTGGCTCAACTACCATAGTCCACAGGCCCTCACCCCCTTCATCACACCCCCAGAAACAAAACTACAAAATTGAAATAAAAGTAACAAAATAGAAGTAGAATATCTATATATCTTAGTGTTTTATTTTAATACATGAATAAAATAGACTGAAAATCTTTAAATCTTCCATTAACAGACATTAATTAACTTACAGAGGTGATTCAGAATGCAGGAGGGCATGTGTTGAAAGAATGTCCAAGTGCAGGGACCCCAACCTACGTCAGTCCACGGGCCCCCTATTCTAGTTGAGCCACTAGTTTATCTATCCATTTTTCTGTCTCTTATTTTATTCTTTTGATATCCCTCTATGAACACAGGTGTAAAAATTGGTTCTTTCTCTGAATGTTTAATTCAGTTCTGTAGCCAGACTTTATTGTTCTGAGTGGCAAGTAATATATCATGGTTTATATTGTAGCTACAGTCCTGCTATAGGTTTACTATTAGACTTGGCCGTTTCTGAGCATTCTAGAATATTTTATTTAATATTGTATGAATGAAGTCTATCTATAGCTTGAATTATGTTTAATCCTGGTTTTAAGATATTTCTATATTGGCTGTTGTTATTTATATAGAATGTAGATTATTAAAAGGGGAGTGTGTACCAGCTTCATAAAAACAGAAATTCTGAACTGTCTCTGACAAAGACTATATTAATATCGGAGTTTTCAAGATTATTGACACCCCAATAGGGGTCAACTGTGTAGATTTATTTTAAAAGAAATTTGGCTCCATAGAGGGAGTAATCCTTGTTTTATGAACTTTGATTGGTTAGAACTTTTTCAAAACATTCAGATCTGCACATTTTTCGCTCAGTAATATCCTGTTTTAACTCTACTTTTAGACTATTAGATAGGTGCACACTCCCTGTTTAATATCTTGGCTGTGATATTATTTATAGCTGCAATATTTAATATAAAAAATAACGTAATCTTCAGTTAAATATCGCTGGTAATTCCATCAGGTTGTATTTACTATTTGACTTTTGAAGTTTTTAAGCAGGTCCCAAGAGCGGTCTTGGTCGGAGATTTTTGAATATTGAGTAAAAATCTTGCCCGTGCCTCCACGACAAAATTTGTCTTCAAAAGGAGTTATAACATCAAACAAGTTTGATAATTGTCTCCGAAAGTTTTATCGTCTGCAAGACAGAAAGTTGTCATCCAATCAGATTCCCTTTCCTTTCAATTGTATGCTCTTCACATGATTATCGACATGATGGAAAACGACCAACTGGAGATTTTTGTCTCCTCGTGTGCCCGTGCCAGTTGTTGAAATTCAAGAGAAGACTCTAATTGGCGACAAAAGCCTCCGACCAAAAAGCCTCCGACCAATACCGCTCGTGTGCCCGCACCTTTAAGTAACAAAGTTCAATCCTAACGTTACTTAAGGAACTTTTTAAATGCTTGGATTGCCGAACTGTGTCTAACTATTTCAATATTTTGAGGTCAATTCGGTGAATACAACCCTTTTTTTTAATTTTAACCAATCACAATGTGACCTTCCTGCACCTGATTTACTTATTCATATTTTTGTAGTCATATCCCTAAGTCAGGAACATAAACAATATTTTTCATATTTTTTTAGTAGTTTTTTTTTATATGAAAATTCTGTTTTCTGTCCTAGTTTTAGGGCTATTTAGATTGATGACCACAAAATGTCAGCTCTTGGAAAGATTGGAAAAAGCCAGGCCCTAGTTGCATTCAAAATTCACAAGTTAAATTTTTTTTACAAATTATATTTAAAAATTCAATGGTTTTGTTTCTCACTTTCAGAGTGATTCAAAACTTGGTTTCTCTCCTCTATCAGTATATCAAGGACACTTATACCTTCTATTAACACCATTCTAATTTACATCAAAAACCTGAGACTCAGACGTCAAATCATAATGGTGTAAATTGATGGTATAAGTATAGTTTTATAGACACAGCTCTATTGCTGAATGCCATTCAAAGACTTTATAAGTATTAAATAACGGAACTCAATTTTATGGTATACTACTCCTTAGTTTTATTATACACTACTTTTCAACAATCTACATTCTTGTACCATATTTCCTAACTTCATCTAAAGATGACAATGTAGATTGTTGAAACGTAGTGTGTAATAAAACTAAGGAGTAGTATACAGTCCGTTATTTAATGTGATCTCTACCCCTAAATGTCGCTAAAGGATTATATATAAGTACTCTTATTGATGCACAGACACGGCTAGAGAAGTCCCAAGTTAAATGTTTTAGAGATTTTGTTATTAAGTATTGACTTTGTAAGACAGTAACTAATTATGTTTGTTATTTTCTATCAGATACTAAACGATTACCAGCGAAAACAGGAGAACCTGGGGGACATCACAATGATTATTATGATGACAGAGACAGGTATGTTTTCACTCATCATCACTTTTAGAGAGCCCACACGCTTGAGTTTTACCAAGTGAAGCCGCTTTTTGAAAGTCTATTTTGCTACTGGTGTTTACAGGCAATGCTAAATCACTTTGAGTTTACCCTAGTTACATCCCTTTGGAGAGTTTCAGACCCTGAAGTCCACAATGTTTCAAATCAAATTCCTCATTGTCCACTGCATGGCATTGTTTGTCTTCATTACCCCAATCAGGAACAACCTATCATCTTGAGGTAGTGTATAATGATTTTTATTATTTTTCAGTTATAATGACTATGATCGTCATAGCGACCGTCCACCTAGTTACAAAGACTACGCAGATTATGACAAGCGAGACGGATATAGAGATAGCTATGGAGACAGACGTGATAGTTATGATCGTGATGAATATGGTCGAGATGAAAAACGTGATAGTTATGCTGACAGATACAGTTACCATAGTGATGAGAATCGTGATAGAAACAGTTACCGTGATGACCCTTATGATGCTGACTACAACCGTCAAAATTCCGGACCAAACGAACCTGCCAGCGATTATCGTGAACCCAACAAGTTTGATAGTCACGGTGCTCACCGCACCTATGATGATCAGGTTGCCTATAGCGACAGATCCAGTCGTTATTCTGATCGCTATGACGATCTCCCCCCACCTCGTCCAACAGGTGGAGCATCAGCCAGTTCATCTTTCGTGTAAAAAATCGTCTGAATCTTAGATTTTGTATCGCATGACCATTGGGTCTTCAATTTTAAGGCAACAATGTGTTTGAGGCATATCTCTTCGCATAGTCCTGTGTTCTTTGACACTGGTGCAAAGTTAATCACTAAATTTGGGTTTTTTATGCTTGCCCTATAAGTTTCAATTGTAATTTTTTTTTAAGGCGATTTTCTGAATACAGCTTTACGTGTTTCACACAAATGTAAAATAAATAGCTTAGATTTTTAATGATGGTTTTTTAATTTTATTTATCCTTTTTGACTATTGATTCATGAAAAATTGAAATTGCTTTCTATAGTTTAATTATATTTTATCTGTAGACTTTCAGTAAATACTTTTTTAATCGTACGTTTTATCCAATTTTATGAGATTGCATTATTTTTTATTCCAATAACTGATGCATATCGTGATACTGAGTAATAACAAACTTCAGAATCTGTGTAATATTTCTATATCTCTCTGTAATCATTCCTTTCAAGAACTATTTTATCTGTGAAAAACCTTGGTGTGTTATGATAAATGTTCTAAAGTTATTATTTTCTCCAATATGAATTTTAAAGTGCTAAAACTGCATAAATAAAGGCACGGTTGGTTAGTGGACACCCTGATGACCACCTATAGCCTACTTTCATTTTGTATATATTATGTCCCTATTGTAGATATACTAGGTGCATATCATTAATTAGATTTTAAGCTTTAACGAGCTATGTTTTAATTAACAATTATCATTCCAATTAATTAATACCATCTGTGATTGGTTTAACTTCAGTTTATTTTGAACTGTTGAATTTGCATTCCAAATGCTTAGTTTTAGTTGGATAATATTGTAAATATTTTCATTTCATTTAAATAAAATATGTCTAATAAACACAGATACATTACATTGCACAGGAAATAGCTGAAATAAGCTAGTAAAATATTTAGACAGTGGACAATGGAGTACACTACAAGAAAAACTGGAAATAAGTCCATCAATTTTTTTTAAATAAGATATTTTTACACTTATTTTAATTTTTTGGATTATTTTTGGATTTTGAAGCTAATCACCTGGTAATCTATATTGATGCTGATTCCACCTCCATTATTATTAATAATTGTACATATTTCAATTTCATTCTATTTAGAATTTTTTATAAAAATAATATTAATCAATTTTATATTCAGTATATTTTTTAATAAAAACCTTTTTCTTATAAAAAATAGATTCATTTTATTTCTATTAATCTAGCTATGTGGAAAACTAAAGAGGTCTATACTTAAATTTTATGTTAAAAAAAAACCCATGCTACATAAGCTGGATTTTTCTGGCCATAGTGATGCCATTCGGAAGGGGATGACATTGAAAAAGCGTCCAGTCATTAGAATGTGCATTTTAAAGATTCTTGAACAGTTGGAATTGGAAGAGAAGGATTATACCTTAGCGTTGCCTGTCTTCATTTGAAGTAGGCTGTAAAACATTCATTAAACTGCGAGTCAATGCTGTGACCATAGAGTAATTAATTTATCTAATGTAATTTTCAGCTAAATTGACTCAAATACAAGTTAGCTCATCTTGGAATCAAATAGTTACTTTTCATGCTACTTGAAAGGTGACTGTTGTAGTCAAGGTATAAGACGAAGTTTGTAACAGTCACTAGTCAATACATATCACTATCAAGAAATAATTCAAAAGAAACAAATCAAATCATAGAACTATATACTGTTCTGTGATCAAATATAACAAGTTAACTGTTGTCTGAAGTATTGTATTGTTAAATAGAGTTGCGCCCCTTACACTGCAATATACTGAG